AAAACTGACAAACTATTTTAGCAAGTTTCACAAGATCAATGTACAAAAATCAGTAGCATTTCTATACACCAACAGCATCCAGAATGAGAATCAAATCAAGAATACAATTCCATTGATTATATAATAGCCACGAAAAATGAAATACATAGGACTACAGCTTAACTAACTGGTTAACTAAGACAACTATAAAACACTGATAAAAGAAATCAGAGATGACACAAATAAATCAAAAGACATCCCATGCTTATTGATTGGAATAATCAATGTTATTAAAATAGCCATCATGGTCAAAATAATTTATGAATTCAATGTTATTTCAATCAAATTACCAGCATCATTTTTCATAGATTTAGACAAAATTCCTACAGTTCATATGGAATCAAAAAAGAGCCCAAATAGTCAAAGGAATCCCAAGAAAAAAGAACAAAGCTGGAAAAATCACACTATCTAACTTCAAACTATACTTTAAGTCTACAGCAACCAAAACAGTATGGTACTGGTACTAAAATGCACAAAGAGATCAATGGAACAGAATTGAAAATAGAAGCAGAATAAATTTCTAAGCAGCAAAGGATTCAAACAGTAACCAAACCAGTATGGTAATGTTACTAAGAAAGACAAAGAGATCAATAGAACACATTAGAAAATAGAGGCAAAAGAAATTTCTAAGCAGCACAGTATTTAAGAACTGACTTGGGTGCTGTTAAAGGCATTCAGTTTTATAAGGGAAGCAGAGAGTAAAAGTTTGGAAAATTTGCAATCAGACAATGCGATTTAAAAAAAATCCCATTTTCAGGGGAGAAATTCAAGCCAGCTGCATAAATTTACATAAGTAACGAGAAGCTGAATGTTAATCCCCAAGATAATAGAAAAAATGTCTCCAGGGCATGTCAGAGACCTTTGTGGCAGCCCCTCCCATCACAGAAAAGGAGGTTCAGGAAGAAAAAAATGGATTCATTGGCTGGGCCCTGGGTCCTTCTGCTGTGTGCAGTCTAGGGACTTGATGGCCTGCATCCCAACCACTCCAGCCATGACTAAAAGGGGCCAAGATACAGCTCAGGCTGTTGCTTCAGAAGGTGGAAGTCCCAAGCCTTGGCAGCTTCCATGTGATGTTGAGCCTGTGGGTGCACAGAAGTCAAACACTGAGGTTTGGGAACCTCCATCTACATTTCAGAGGACGTATGGAAACTCCTGGATGCCCAGGCAAGTTTGCTGCAGGGGTGCAGCACTCATGGAGGACCTCTGTTAGGGCAGTGCAGAAGGGAAATGTGAAGTCAAAGCCCACATTCAGAGTCTACTGGAGCATCACCTAGTGGATATATGAGAAGAGGGCCCCCATCCTCTAGATCCCAGAATGGTAGATGCACAGACAGCTTGCACTATGTGCCTGTAAAAGCCAGATGCACTCAATGCCAACCCATGAAAGCAGCCAGGAAGGGGACTGTATCATGCAAAGACACAGAGACAGAGCTGCCCAAGGCTGTGGGAGCCCACCTCTTGCATCAGCGTGACCTGGATGTGAGACATGGAGTCTAAGGAAATCATTTTGGAGCTTCAGGATTTGACTGCAATGCTGGATTTGGGACTTACATTCCTGTGGTCCCTTTGTTTTGGCCAATTTCTCCCATTTGGAATGGCTGTATTTACCCAATGCCTGTACCACCATTGTATCTAGGAAGTAAATAACTTGCTTTTGATTTTACAGTCTTATAGGCAGAAGGGACTTGCCTTGTCTCAGATGAGACTGTGGACTGTGGACTTTAGAATTAATGCTGAAATGAGCTAAGACTTTGGGGGAACTGTTGAGAAGGCATGATTGGTTATAAAATGTGAGACATGAGATTTGGGAGGGGCTTGGTAGAATGATATGGTTTGGCTGTATACAGCCTCTATGGAAAACAGTATGGAAATTTTTCTTAGAACTAAACATAGGACTACCATTCAATCTAGTAATCCCACTACTGGGTATTTGCTCAAAGAAAAAGAAATAATTACATAAAAACGTTACTTTCACTTCAATGTTTATTACACTACTATTCACAATAGCAAAGATGTGGAATCAATCTAAATGTCCCTCAATGCATGATTGCATAAAGAACATGTGGTATACAATGGAATACTAATCAGCCATAAAAAGAATTTAATCATGTATTTTGCAGCAATATGGATGGAACTGGAGGCCATAATCTTAAGTGAAACAACTCAAAAATAGAAAGTCAATACACATGTTCTCATTTATAAGTGAGGGCTAAATTATATGTATACACATAGAGCATGGAATAACAGACCTTGGAGACTCAGAAGGGGGCGGCCAAGGAATGAGAAATGAGAAATTATTTAGTGGGCACAATGTATATTATTTGGGTAATGGTTATGCTAAAAGCCCAAACTTTATCACTACACAATATATCCATGTATCAAAATTGCATTTATACCCCTTAGATTTCTTCAAATAAAAAATTTAAGGTGCTAATGATGTTATATCCAGTAGCAGAAGAAGTCCATGGCATGAAGTGTTTATAGAGATTATCCAAAATTACTGCACTGGATATTCCTAATCACTCACTTATAAGAAGCAAGGATCTATGTGACTTTGTATATGATATTATCAAACAGTTTTGAAAATTTAATATGATGACATTGGCTGGTTCTTCCTAATGTTACCGGACAACATGACAAAAAAAGGGGGCAGAAGTGGGGAGGATGAGTTCAGGGATTCAAATTCCCAGCATAAACACCAAATAAATAACCTAGGAATGTCTATGTGTGCCCTGAAGGAGACCTTTACCTTCTGTAGCAACAGGGTTAAAATTGCTGAAGATCAAATGTAGAACCTTATTCTGTGACGTGACGAATTACAAGGCAAGTTAAACACCAGCAGGGCAGAGTGTGTATTGTTAACATGAGGGCAATGATTGGAAAACATGGGATTGTGAAAGTTAGGATGTGGATGTGTGGGAAGCATTGACACTCTAAACTCTGATGAGTCTTCTTTGCCCTAACTAATACCTTTTCAAAGATGTCTTCATTTATCTAATTTATTATTATTATTATTATTATTATTATGTATATTTTGGTAAGGAAGACATACACACACACACATACATTAATTATGACGGATAGTAGGTATCATCCCTTAATAAAATGTAAGAAAACTGGCTTCTTTTTCAAACCAAGATTTGAACTGCAGCCTGAACAAAAGCCTGTCCACTTAATCACTCTACTGCAAGTCTCATCTATGACTATCATAGATCTAACTGATATTACTGATTGTTCATAAATTGTTGGGAAAATGTGGATTATTTATTTGATGATTATGTGGTAAGATTGAACAACTTCTTTTACTGAGTCTTTTTGTAAGGGATGGGAAAAGACTGTAGTGGGATTAAAGAAAAGATGTTCTGGGAAAGGAATCTGAATTATTTCAGGCTTATGTAAATCAAGACACAATCTTTCAAATGAGGGTAATCTTTATTCTCATAGAGTTGTAATCATTGTAAAGGGCCCTTACACCTTTAACTAACATACGAAAGAATCAAAGATATTTTGCAGGCATCAAGTACATACAAGAAAAGGCACTAGTACAAGATCTATAGAAAATAAGAAGCCATTGTTTTTAATTATGTGGACAGCATTCAGGTCTGGTTGGAAGTACAACACTACAATATTGCATTATGGGCTGAATCATGTCCTCTCAAAATTTCTATGCTGAAGTCCTAGGACCTTTACAGAGGTAATCAAGTTAAAATGAGGTCATTAAAGTAGGTCCTAATCCAATGTGACTGATATTTTTGTAAAAAGTAGAAATTTGGACATAGACAAACAGGGAGAACAACATGTACAGATGAAGGGAGAAATTAGGGTGATGCTTCTGTAAACCAAAAAACACCAAAGATTGCTAACAACCTGTCAGAAGCTAGGGGAGAAACATGAAACAGATTCTTCTTCATAATTCTTATAGGGAACCAGTCCTGCTAATATCTTGACCTCAGACTTCTAATCTCTAGGACTGTGAGACAACACATTTCTGTTTTTTAATCCACTCAGTTTGTGGTACTTTGTGACAAACTGAGTACCATGAAAGTAAGAAACAATAAATATCTGTTGTTAAACCCACTCTGTAGTACTTTGTTATATCAACCCTATCAAATCTATACAATGTGACATAATCAAAGAGCAACATCCTGCACAAATAAATTTTCAATTGTTTGGTATAAACAACCAATGTTTTTAAGGTCCAGAAACAACTATTATATAACGTACATTGATATGTCCCTTCAGCCACACATAAACACACAGATACATGCACATTATTCAGAACCAATGAAAATTAATAATTATTTATGAAATAATTATTTAACTTTCTCGCTAATATTTTCAAACTATTCTGAGTCTCTACTATGTGCCAATTAGAGTATGAGGCTCAGAACGTCAAGAGCTAAACAAGATCTAGCCCCTGCTGAGTGAGAACAAACAATCAAATCCTGATCCTGATCTCCACTATCAGAATACCTACAGCATTTGCCAATTATTAGGCCATTTTACCTCTGTTCCTTAGTTTATATTCAAAGAGGGTAAATATATTAGCTAATTGTTTGTTTTATAGGGAAGCCTCCTCTCCCCCCAAAATTAAGTTCTACTGTAAGCATGTCATAAAGAACTAGATAGATGTTATTCAATAAATCATAATTGATAATACAGTCAAACATGAGGACTTTATTTAAAAAACTAATATCTTGGAAAGTAGTTTATAAAATATAAGGTACTATTATAAGCATTTGTTACTATTATCATCAATTATAATATTAATCATTTATAACAATAAAAATTTAATATTCCCAAGTTAATTCCTTCAAAAATTTTTCCCATAAAACTTGTTCCATTATTTTAAAATACTAAATGAGTTGAATCACACTGAATGGTCACAAAAAAATCAATTCTGAAAAATAAAAAACACCTTACCAAACAAACTTAAAAGGAAAAGCCTTTAATAAACTTACCACTTTCAAAGCAAGCATCAAAGATAAGATGTCCTTTCTTGGGCTGTCCACAGTATCCAGTTGGAAGCACTATATATTTGCTCACATTCCCTCCGATGGCATCATCATTTCCCATATCATTACCTATTTTTTAAAAATTGGCTCATGTTAAATAAAAGTCAAAGTATATTCAGCAATAGAAGTCCAGTCAGATTTTTACCATTAATTTACCCCTTCCCTAGTCACTGAGTGTTAACCCATGCAAAAAGAAGTTAACACCACATGGTGGTACAGTGAAAAGAGGCTACATTTTGAAACAAAATGATATAGGCCCAAATTTCAACTCAAATACATGCTAATGCTCTATGCCCCAAAGCAATCAACCTAATATCTTTACACCTCAGTACAAAGTTGTGTTTCTAGAATTATATATAAACTATAAAAATATCTACTATCATTATCAAAATCCAAGATATATTCATTAAATTGCATCAACCATTTAATATATAAATAATTTACATAATTTGGCATAAACATATATTCAATTGTTTAAATTTGAATAAAGCTATAGTTCTATAAATAGCATTATGACTTCCAGATGCTCCACCAGAAACAATTTGAGAAATATTGATTTAGCATACAAGTTCTATTTCCTACCAGGAACTTTAATTTTAAAATGTTTTTGAAGTTTCACTCTCACCTAAGATGTAGAAAAATTGAAAGAGCATCCCTTCTACCCTAACAACAGAAAATTTCTCAATGAAGTAAAAAACTTTCCCAAAACTATCAGAGAACTAAGTTTGAAGAGCAGCTAAATAATATAGTATCAAAGGAAAGTCAAACCCCACCAAACAGAGTATGGGAAGCAAGCACTGACTCCTCCATGGCAAAGCACAAGAAGAAGTAATGCTGGGTCCCACACAAATGAGTTAAAAAGCTAAGCTAATTTTTTAAAATTATTAAATGTCAAATGAGGAAATATGAGAGTGTAGAACTACTGAGTCATAGACACACAGGGGATTCAAATCCATTTGAAGACTCTAGATGTTCAGAAGGAAGATTACAGGCAGGTAGGTAGACCAGAAAATGTTTTTCTTTGTGGTACAGACCTAGAGAAGGAGAGAGGCTTCTGTAAGAGGAAAGGCATGAAGTCCCTTATGGGAAAAATGGCTTCACATGACTAGGGGAGAAATAACAAACTTATTCCCTAAATGCACAAGTGAAAGGAACAGAAACAATAAAAGAAAAATCCTTTAAACCTGAAGGAGGAGTGGGAAACATTCCCAGATGATATTATAAATATTATTTGTCACTACAAATGGATATACCTCTTTCTAGGTCATTTTTATAGGGCCTTGTGTCAATCTCATCTGTAGATAAACTATGTTTGAGTTTCACTGTTGATATGATCATCTTGAATATTCTATTGCCCCATCCAGCCCCTTCCCTCAAAACTTAAATAACACTAGAATAATTTGAAGCTAGTGGCAAACTGAAGATAATCATAGCAACAAAGAAATTCAGACACATCTGAGCTCCAAACTAGGTTGACATAAACCCCCACCCAAATAAGCTGGAAAAGGATATATCCATTTACAGTGACAAATAATATTTGTAAGTACTAAAATACTATAAAAACAATAGTATTCTCTACTGCTCTGGAATTCAATAAAAACTTGTGAGACATATCCAAAACATCCAGGAAACACAACCTACTGTCTAGGGATAAAATGATACACAGGACCAGACACAGAAATGACCAGATACTAAAATTATCACCCTGAATTTTAAATAAAGCTCAATATGTTAAAGGCTGTAGTGGATTATGAGAACAAAATTCATGAAGAAATGGAAAATTTCATCAGTAAAACAGAAACTACAATAATAATAGAAAATGAAATGATAAAACCAAAATCACAGTAATCGAAATGAAGAATGCCTTTAATGAATTCGTCAGTACACCTGGCACAGCTGAAAACTAAATCAGTAAACTTTATAACTTTATAACTAAAACTAAATCAGTAAACAAAAATAATCTAAACATAAATGCAAGGGGAAATAGGAAAGGTAAAAGAGAAAAAAATAGCAGAGCATCCAAGAGCCGTGTAACAATATCAACTAATCTAATATATCTTTCTGCTCCATTCTTACTCTCATGTGCTCGGGAATCCCAATATATATATAATTGGGATTATATATATAATTGGGAGCCCTTATATATATTATATATAATATATATATATAATTGGGATCATATGTATATAATATATATATAATTGGGATCATATATATAATATATACAATTGGGATTACATATATAATATATATAAAATTGGGATTACATATAAAATATATATATTATTTATATATATATATATATATATATATATTTGGGATTCCCAAGCAGATAAGAGTAAAATGGAGCAGAAAGATATCTGAAGATATAATGCCTGATAATTTTCCAAAATTAATGAAAGAGATTTAGCTATAAATCCAAAGAGCAACTAAAATAATAAATACACTATTAAAAATTAGATATGTTGTACTTAAAGAGAAAAATCACATACAAATGAACTAAGACAAAAACACATATTTCTCTTTGAAATACATAAACGGTGCAAACCAAAAGTCAAGGTAATGATATATTGAAATTACTGGGAAAAAGTCAACATAAAATTTTACACCAATTGAAAATATCTTTCAAAGATGAAGCACAAACTGAAGTTATTTTAAGAAAAATAAAAGCTGAGCGAATTTATTATCGACGGTCCTGTGTTGTAAGAAATGTCAACAAAAGTTCTTCAGGCAGAAGGGAAATAATATCAGATATAAACTAAGATCCACACAAACAACTGAAGAGCTCCTGAAATGATATAAATAAAGGTAAATATAAATTTTCTTATGTTCAATCACTCTAAAAGATAAATCATTAAAAGATAGCAATGTATTATGTGTTTATGCCATATGATAAAGTAAAATATATTACAAAAATGCCACAAAAGATGGAAGATGGCTGACCATAGGTGCCTGACACTTGCCTCATTCACAAAGAAGGGGCAAGTGTCAGGCACCTCTAAAACAAGTAGACAACCACACGTCAAATAAAGTGCCTAAACAAGAACACTGGAATTCTGCAAGGAAGTGACAGGGACCCTCTGAGGCATGAAAGGAGAGGGAAGTGAAGCAACCAGCCCAGCCATGATTGTCTCAGATACAAGAGAAGTTCCTCATTGCAAAGGAAAGGTAAGTAAAATATCCCCAGTGCTTCCTATTCCCATCACAGATGCCTGCAATAGCTACAGGAGGGTCTAGTATGGAAGGTCATCTGCAGTCCATTGCAATTGCATTGTTCTACAGAGGAAATTCACATTCCATTCTACTAACCCCCTGAAGCCAAAGCACTGCACGGCACCTTTATAAAAACTAATCCCCCACCAGACTACATCTTGCTCTGGGAGCCAGCTGACCCTGCAACTCCACATCCCTGGAGCCCCAATGACATCCTCCCATGTCCACCCAGAGGGATATAGCATTATGATACCAGATGGACCCAGCAATACATCTGGGCCCCAAGCACTCTAACCACATAGTGTCCTGTCCAAAACAGGCAGTATAGCACACCAGTGAGGCTGCCCCCAGGACAAAGGGAGCCAAAGTGCACAGTTCCCAGAGCCTGAAAACCATCTTCCTCAGGATGCCGCCATCAACAGAAACAACACTCCTCCAGTTGAAGTGGATATAACAATTGAACAATTGTGAGTGTGTGTGTGTGTGTGTGTGTGTGTGTATAGATATAGTATAGATATAC